TGATATGAAAAAATTCAGAAGTGATTTAAAAAAGGTCTCCATTTTGTCGCAGGACTTATTTGCCAACCTAATATATCAAGAATAGGACACGCATTCTCCTCCGCATCATGGATGCCCATTGAGGCTTACCAGGGTAGTGGATTGACATCGTAAGGTTTTTTTTTCAGAGTTTCACTCAAGGCTTTCAGTCTGTGGCGAATAATGCGACCTTACAGATTTTCTTAATAACGTGTAACTGATACCATATCACACTCTGTAGGGAAATGATGTAGCGTTTCCGCAGAAAAAAAGTAGATGGGTCTCTTTTTTGGAAGGAATTTACAAATATTTTGCTCTCTACATTACTGCCAAGTTTAATATTTGTGAAGAGTGCCCTTGAGATTATCTGAACTTTCTGGGTTTTACTCGAAGCTTACTGAGAGGCTCCATCCTTCTCCCTGCTTTGTGGAAAGCAGTTTCGGTTGATCTGAAGATGTATACCTATATAGAAAAGATACTGACAATCTCAATGGCCATTACGTATGTAGTAAACAAATAAACAGGGTTCTGAAAAAAGGTGCTGTGAAGAGAGCTCAGTCCAACAGAACAGAAACCCCAACAAAAGTCTTTTTTGGCGTTTGCAGTGAGCATCCCAAGAAAGACTGTGGTCTCGAGAAGCAAGTACGATTTTTTCTTTGTGAGGAATCCCAAATCGATACCCGCCTAGGCTCACTCGGGCTTCCGTTTCTCCGGGGTCGGTATCAGACTCGTCTTTGAAGACAAAAACATTGACTTGTGCTCTGGCTGGTCACTGCATTTCATTGTATGGGCCACATAAGCTTTCAATATAGCACTACGATACTGAATAGAAGTCGAATGCAGGGAGCATTCCTCAGACGGGACTGATCAACGTCGAAAAAAACTTCTATCCTTCAAATTCAACAGTAATACGATTGTAACAGTTTTGTATGTTTTTTGGATGTTCTCTGAACAAATTTTTTGGAAGCTCAGAAAATTACGTCCTGAAAAACCCTGGCGCTTCTTCTGTTTACATAGTTTCCAGGTGATATCAGCAAATGAATTATTTTCTTAAGATNTGGCATCAGTGATTGGCTCAAAGGATAAAAGAAGGTTGCTGACTTCTTCGGTAAATATTTTTCCGAAAATTCATTGATATGAAAAAATTCAGAAGTGATTTAAAAAAGGTNATTATTTTCTTAAGATTAACTGCCTATTGCAAGGCCTCCAAGTGTCATGGTGTTTGATTGCCATGCCTATTTGAACAATGATGTAAATTAGTCTGGGAAAGTAATTGTGTTTTCTGATTATTTTCCCATTTTCCAAATTGAATTAACCTATGCGAACCATTTGTTTCTAATTTCGTTCTGTCAAACGTCCAAAAAGCTAATTCCTTCCGGAATCACTAGAATTTTGGTAATATAAACAACTGTTCAATCTGTAGTCTTGATGTATTGCACTGTGGCAGTTCAAAAATCGACGCTGGGAAAAAAGAACGTCATGAGACAAGTGCGGAACTGACTGAATGAACAACATAGCACCCTCTATGGCACGATTCTGGCACTGTACGGTTTCCCCTTTGCAATCAGCATCGATGTTGTAATCTCAGTTTGTTTCTCTACTTTTTATGACTTCATTTGAAAGTCCTAAGCTTATGTACAGAGGTTATCCTGCTCTCCTAGAAAATTTCTTAACCAAAGGCACAGTTCATGATGGAAACGATTTCTGAGATTTCCCATAAGAATGAACCTGTGATCCTCAAGGATAGCACATGGGACATTGTCGAGTGGAAAAAGCACCTCCACAGTCCGTTATAAGGGCTTAAAACCAGCCCGGCCGAGGC